GGGGGGGGGGGGGAAGGGGGGATGCTCGCTGAGATATTTATAATTAGAAACAATAAAAATCGTAAAAATGTAAAATTTTGAATTGGGGCGTGACGCGAAATTAGCCCATTTTAATACAGGCAGTACTTTGCTGGCAGTGCAATTGTCTATACAGTAAATACTAAAGTAGATAGACAGTAAATACTAAAGTAGGGTGCATTGCCAGCTAATGGTTTAATAAAAGACATTGACAAATGTGTTTGTTAAACTATTTACTGACAGTACTCTACCACTGACAAGTAAAATCGTCTGGTGGTACACGGTGTAAATTTGTTTACTGTAAACTTATTACTGAAAGTAGTGTGTGTTGCCAGCTAATAGATTAGTAGACCTTAATATCCGCTTGCTTATTAAATGATGAACGAGAAACAAGCAGGAAATATAGGGGATATAACCTTAATGTGCAGGCTTGCCATTCCACCAATGATGAAACGTGGAAATGATGCCATTGGGTCAAAAGTAAACTTCCCTTTAGAGAATTGTTTAGAAATACAATCTTTTGCATTCAGATCATGTGGCAAAAAGGCAGCACTTTCCTTGCGATAGTAACTCCTATTTATAGATTTGCACCATAGGTCTCCCGAAAAGGTCTTTTATTTTTTTTTAAAAATCCATACAATTTGCTTGCGGTTTACGACTTGATTCTTGTATACTGCATCATAGCACGTATGTCGTCATTTTCAGGTCGGTGTGAACGCCTGAGCAGGCGTCTTGTTTTTATATAGAGCAACCAAATTATGGAATGATTTAGACAATAACATTAAAGATAGTTCAAGTATTGGAGTTTTTAAAAAACTAGTGAGAGAGATACTGCATGAAGAGTGCTGGAACAACTCAATATTATCAATAATTGATTTATTATACCCATAAACAAATGTATATTTTGATATATTGGTGTATATATAGGTCTTCTAATAAACTCATGTAAATACGTATTTAATCTTCATTTTTATACGATGTAATTATTTCTGAAAAGCCATATTCAAGAAATAAATTAATAATAATAATAATAAATACAAGTACACGTAAATCATACAAATAAATGTCAATGTCATACAAATAAATCACTACTTAATTAATTTCGATCCAGTGCAACGACTGAAATAATTTTGGTCCAGTCCGTCTCAGGGACCATTCATTATTTATGACCTCGGGTGGGTTGGCAAAATTAAATTAACAACTAAACACTAAAACATACAAATGTACTAAAACTGGTGGTAGACAGAGATCTACTCGAACATTTACAACAACTGGAAAAAGATCCAGTTCGATTCATTGATGGAACTACATCATGAACACTGAGAACCACGAACTACAATGTATACTGAACTATTTGTTTCATTGGAGACTAGAAGGTCCGCGCGAGTCAGCAGCTGAAGCGTTTTTCTCTTGCCCACCGAGTTACATGTATTCTGTGAAGGCGACGTGTGAACGATTTAGAAGTTTTGAGGCCGATCATAAAATTGCTTTTCAAGGATTCTTGGAGAAAAAGCTTGTAGAACAGTTTAACAAACAGTTTTAGTTGTAATATTTTTTGACTCTATAGTCTGTTATTTGTATCAATAAACATGTTTTAAACTTTGCAAATGTTGCGTTGTTATGTGTTGCTAAATCATTAGGATGCGTGTAGGTAATTAAGGGATTAGGCGAACAAAAATCTGCATAACTAAGTGTATCCCAATGGATAGATAGGGATTATTTATAACGCAGGTGTATGCCTTAAAATCGGGCGCGAGGCTTTGTGGGCAAAATTTACACAAGAATTTAGATTTAAAACACATTTATTTCTTTAAGTACTGCAAAGTTAATAATTCTTGTCTGTATAAACATATTATCCACTTCAGAGTTTTGTCCCGTTTTTGTTTCTAACTTTAACCGCTCCTTTGAGCCATCATTCATTTCTGCATTGTCCACGTTCTTTGCAGATTTTGTATTCGATTTTGTTCTCGATCTTCCTGGAGGATTTTGGTTGACCGATGGGTATATTCTTTATCCCGCTTTTATTCCACCTTGACTGCTTTTTACTGTTTCCAATTAATCTGTACAACTCTGCTAAACTTTTTCTAAGTCTAAAGCTGTTGGCTTAGCACGAATAAGATAAGGTTGTCTCTCTTGGGATGAAAGTTCATGGATGTCTGCCAAATGGTTTGCCAATCTTTTTAAAGCTCGCTTGCCGCAGATGGGACAATCTTTACACTTCCGAGGCATAATGTCAAATGATAAATATCAACTGACTTCCTAACATTAAATAGTCGTTGTCCCAAATGCCTTTTTGAAAGTTTGCCGGGACTTGGGAGAGGGTTAGACAAATGGGTTAGGGGAAAATAGCTTCCACACAGGATCGTATTTTATTTTTATAAATCAAACACAAACAACCATTAAGAGTCAATGTCACTAGGATACCGTGTGTATCTGAAAAGTCTTTTCAAAAGAAATTTTCTCTTGTCAATAGCGGCCTCTAACGCTTCCCTGTGGTCGAAATTATCATCGTTGACAAAGACATCCCTGGTTTCCATGATCTTTTTGTGTATTGGATCTCTCCTTTGTTGTCTTATCCATAGTAGACGTTCCAAATAAATATTCTGCAAATCTTTACAAAGTTTTGGTAGGATAAGTAAGTATGCTTTGTCTTTAGCTTCGTTTTCGTCAAAACCTTCTGCAGTGAAATTCTGCGTTATACTAGTTCTTCGAATTCCGATAATTAACTTTGTTGGTCTGCTTCAGCTTTTAAAAGACCCCATGGATCGCTTTCGTATTCATCACTTACTTCACTGCTAGTATCATCTACATTATCAGAATCACTTTCTGACGCAGAATCAGTTTCCACTTCGTTGTCAGTTTTTTACGAATTCTCAACATCACTCTCTGATGTAACACTATCAGGGTCTGCAACCGTTCTCATTCTTTTCATCTTTACACTGAAATCTGTAGTAGCTTTCCAACAGTACTGTATTTCCTTCGTATATTGTTAGGTTGAAACAACTCCAACCACAACCAACAGGCGAATGATCAATTTTTTGAACAACATTACATTTTATGAAGTGACCTTAAGGAACTTTTCTATGGCCTTGTGTCTCGACTGGTGATTGGCTGGGATACTTCCTCACCAAGTCTCCCCACCAATAGGATTCTAGAGAATCGGACCACAAGGTCATAAAAAAGGCCCTTGGGGCCAGTGCGAAAAGTGGCCCCAAGGGCCTTTTCTACGGCCTTGTGGCCCGATTGATGATTAGTTGGGATGGGCCACTTTTCGCATTGGCCCCAAGGGCCTTTTTTACGGCCTTGTGGCCCGATTCTCCAGAATCCCCATGGTGGGAAGTATCCCAGCCAATCGGGCCAAAAGGCCGTAGAGAAGTAAGTAAAACCTGAATAAACCCTGTATTAATACCCTGTATTACACTTTCTGTTGCCAAAGAAAATCTACTAAAAAGGCCAGCTATTTTTGTCACTCCTAACTGTTTATTTTCTTTGTATTATTTCTGCTGGAAATTGCTGTATGTTATTGGCTATCTTTATTATTGTTTCATATTTTAGGCCAATCAGAAAATCTAAGGGACCGGTCTTTAATAAGAGGGGGGGAGGGGGCGTGGGTGATAAATACCAAATATTGAATTTTTTATAGCCGCCCCAATGAAAAGACCTTTATTTTCAATACGCCCTCACCTTCAGGTAGAAAACTTATGACACAATTTTATTTTTAATAAATCAGTTACTATAAAATTATACCAAAATGTGTCCTTTGAATGGTTAACTTTTTTGCATTGTCTTATATTTAACTTTACATTAAAATTAATTTTTATAATTAGTTAATTAAGAATAAGTTTTAAAGTTCCTCCATAAGAGAGACTAATACTATTTAAGATGTATTTGAGTCAAAATGTTTCATTTTATTCTATTATATAAAATATAACATAATAATTATAGCAACTTTTTGGTTTATAATTACCCTGGATTCCA